ACATATCTTCAAAATATTTTTTTTTTGTTATTATTTCGAAAATATGCAGGTTTCCACACGATGTTTTCCTTCACCGCGGAGCACGTGATAAGACAGCACTTAAAGTTAAAAACTTCATTGGTGCCGGCACCGGAGATCGAACTCAGGTTGCTCGAGTATATTGAATTAAAGGCGAGCGCCCGGACACTGAGCTATCACGGCTCAGGAAATAATACTACTACTATCTAATAGTTACAAATAAAGTGGAGTGTCTGGGAGTGGCATTTTGTATTTTACTCTTATCGCTTGGATCCATATTTTCCTCGTATGCTTGTGGATTTTGCCGGCCACTACATCTCTGTTATATTGACACAGTTAACATATGCATATTGTATTAAACGAGTACTGTGGGCATTGTTCAGCACTATAATTAAAAGGAATCCCATATTCACTCCATCGACTACCACAAACTCAGTAAGAGCTTCATAACATGTCATTCCAAACACCAACATTTGGCCATTGCCTTACGGCATTGTATTTATTTGCAAAATTAAGCTGAACGTAATGCTCTCCTTTACGCCTCTAATGGGAAGCGTGTTTTTATCGACGAGCGACCACCATCGGATTCAACTCAGCGAAAACAGCCACAACTTTGTTGATTCGGGCCTCTACTTCGGCCTGCGCTCCACATAGGAGATGAACAATAGATACTGCCAAGGTATTATAGAAAAATGCTGGACTTTTATGGATAAAACTATATTGCAAATTTTGTACAGGCAACGAAGAGCGCTCAAAGATACATATAAACTTTTTGTATCTGTGGCGACCATAGGAGTGCAGTGTGCGAATCTACGTTTTTAACTCTAACTGCCATCAATAGGCCTCACAGTCTGGCGCAACTAGGAACAAAAAATTTTTCTATGGACTTTACGCGGCAAATAATGGCGGATATTGCTATCACTCTCCCTCAATGCGGTTTCTTTTTCTTGCAATACAAGAAGTGCCATGTTGTTTGTCAAAACTTAATTTCGCACCGCGTATTTTGAATGTAAATGCTTATTTCATTGTATATTTAAATTGTTTAGAGTAAACTTTCTCACGAAAACTAATGACAGGTGATCAGAGTTGTAATTTTAATTCAAAATGCCAAAAAGACGGTGACCTGTGAAATTGGTGAAAATCGAGCAAGTCATTCGAATCTTGAAAAAAAGGATGTTTATGGCGAGATTTCCCTTAGATGAAGCCCATGTAAGCACTTAAATATAATACTTTGCAGCCATATGTAAGTAGAGCAGACTAAAAACAAATAAAATTAACAAATGTATCTTATTTAAATTGTGTGCTAGTGATGTACTGCAACTGTAATATCCACATATCGATAACTATGTTAATGTTTATAAAATAAATAAGATGTATATAAAAAAATAAGAAATAAAATGTTGCGTGAAATAGTAGGGGCACAAAGTTTACACATATTTGAATGGTGTGCCTACATAAATGGCCAAGGATCGGAATAGGTGAATTTTGCAGGATTTTGAAACATAATCTCTGTAATATTGATACGTCATATAATTAATTTCGTGTGCTGACTATGCTAAGAAAACTAAAATAATTTTTAGATTTTGATTCTATTTTTATATTTCAATTATTTCCAGACTCGTGTACAGCAGGACAACAGCTGTTGGCTGAAGAATCAAGAAACAAATTTCATTTCAGTAATAAAATTTTATTTTAATTGACAGAAACCGTTTTTTATCTTATTTCGGGTCCGTATTAAAGTCCAATCTTCTACCAAATATCCCCTTAACAACATTGGACATAAATACGGACTCGATGCTTACCTACTAAAATTAATAAAAAAATATTAAGTTGAAACCTCGATTTCTACCTAGTATCTTTTATCGATATCGATAAGAAGCTAAGCTAGCTTGGTTAAGCACTATTTGGCTCGTTACGTTGGTACTCTTGTTGTTTGACATCTTTGTGGTATGGTTGGTGTTGCAGTGCCGCGTAAACTGATATTTTTGGTTAGTATGGGAGTCCCGTCTCTTAAACGTAGTGATTACATTCTCTTTGAGGCCTCAAACCACCGTCAAATGGATCACGAGAGAATGGCGAGTATGGTATTTCTGGCTTTTGAAAAAAAAAAGTCAGTTAATTTGAACGAACTTCGCATATATTAATAACATGGCGAATCGTAGAATTCAGCCGTTTTAAATATTTTATTAATTTTAATTTTTATACAATAAGTTTGCAGAACCAATATGATCTAAATGGTATTTTTGGTCGTATCTTTATACACGTATCACCCCACCTAACAATTAATTATTACCTCACTCTCACTCAGACGTACATATCTATATCCAAATCGTGAAGTTCAATAATCTTGTTCGCTTGTTCTTCATCATTAAGAATTTAATAGTTCTTAGATCCAAGCTCATTATTACACAAGACATTATTTGTCTACGAATAGGTAGTAAATGTACATCTCTGACATCAACGTCAGTGATATACGTGATGATTGATTTAGGAGCTTGGATGCCATGCTCCGAGGGCAGATAAATTAAGATAATTTTTTTACTTCCGCCTTATCTGTAATCAATGCTGCCCTACCTCAAATTCGACTCTAGCTACAGCCCTAACGCGCGCCTTGTTTTATAAATGTGTTCACTACTTTCTAATATACGGTCTTCGGTGGGTTTATGCCAAAGCAGTTCTTGTACTATGTCTCGAAAAAACCCCCCGAATAACAATTTCTCGATAGGTTATTTTTATGTATTTTGTAATGCGGCTGCAGGGAGTACTCTGCAGATATAAAATATGTAGGTAATCATAAAAGTAGTAAGCAATCTATTTGTCACGACCGACGTTGCCTGTACACACGACTTAAATCCGACAACTTATAAAAAAAATTGTAGTTAACTTATAAAAAAAAAAGAATTATGAATCTAAACCATTCTCGAATCGGCCTGAAGAAATTTCATTCAAATCAGTCCAGTCGTTTACGAAGAGTTTAGTGACATACACACGCACTAAAGAATTATATATATAAAGACTAGCTTTTCGCCCGCGGCTTTGCTCGCGTTGAATCCCTGAAATAAATATTTATATATTTCTTTAAAAACTACATTTCATTAAAATCGGTTCAGTAGTTTTGAAAGTCGTGAAAGCGAAACAGACAGACAGAATTACTTTCACGTTTGTAACATTAGTATGAAAGTTTGGATTTATAGTTTTTTTTACATCAATTTGAACAGCCCTCGATTTCCCCGACGTTAATCTCATCTGGAATGGGGCACTCAACCATGCGCTACCTTTATAGGGGGTATTATAGGGTTCATTTGAGGGGCACTTTTTCAGATACTCTCTATGTGGTGCACTCTGGGTAGAGACCCAGACTGGTAGCAAAAATCTGACAAAAGGGCGTATTTTTCACCAGAAGGGGTGTCTCCTGTGGAAAAGCAAGCGCAGGTTGGATGTTCACTAACTCTTATCACTGAGCAGGTGACAAGACTTTTGCTTCGTCACCACTAGCTAATGACGTAAAAGTTTCATCAGTCCCTGATACAAACAGGACGTTTAGTAGCGCAGGACTTAGATGCGCCCAATTCAAAAAGGTCGCGGAACAGGAGTTGAACTCTTCTGATATCTCTATTGCTCCGGGTAGGAGTAAACGGTCGTAACAACGTGAAAACGCATTAATGGAAAATCATAGTCACCGAACGAGGTTAAATCTTCAGAGCTGATACGCCAGGCGGCCTGTGTAGATAGACTAGATAGACACGCTTTCAGATTGCTGAGCTCACTGCAAAGCTTTACTAAAAACAAAGCGTATAAGCCAAAACAATTACTTACACTTACATCAACATTACCGCACTCATTGACAAGAAACGGAAACTGGCAACTGAAAGTTAACTAAACTCAACGCCATTAACCATCTGCTTACACTCCTTCCGAGTATGTGAAAGAGATTGATGTACTTCCACCGCAAATATGGGTACTTTAACGAGTGGTAAATGTAATTGGGTAGGCAATGGCCAGAAATTCCTTCATTAAAAGGGGCTATGTCCGTAAAATAACAAGCGAAAAAAATGGCCAGCCATGATAGGCGCCAAACTCAGAAGTCATCACTACACTTCATACAGATCAGCACGCACGCAAGCACGCACGCACGCACGCACGCATGTGCACGTTACAATTAGGGCCGCAGCTAAACAACGAGTAAATCTGTTGAACATCTGGATAAAAACCGGACTGGTATAAAGAGAGCTATCAATGGTGCTTTAAAACTGGATCAAACTGACAAAATACAGAAAGTGTTGGTTGAGGACAGTGATGGATTACGAAGAGTGTCACTCCAGGCGAAGTTGCAGCGCAATAAATAGAAAAAAAACACACGATCGATAATTATGGAGAAAATTCCTCAAATGGCTCCACAGGCACCCATGGGAGCACCCATACAAGAATGATTTGGGTAATAGTTAGTAAAATGTAAATTTTTAAATAGTAAGTTCTTCAATGATATTTAACAGTACATTAGAAAATGATGACTTGGTACATGTACATGATATAAAGATTGAAATCTGTTTTCTAACTAAAAAATTCTCGTGTCACAGTGTTTGTAATTGAACTCCTCCGAAACGGCTCGACCGATTACCGTGAAATTTTGTGTGCATATCGGCCAGGGTGGAGAATCGGACAACATCTATTTTTCATCCCTCTAAATGTTAAGGGTGGTCCACCACAAACATTTTTTAATTCATATGGCAATACAACATTTTGCCGGATCAGCTAGTTTATATAAAAAATCTTAACTGGCATTTAATGAAAGAATAAATTACTTGTTTTAAAGTTATAAATATATTGGAAAGTATTTTATGGATTCAATCACTATTGATTTTAGATTTTAACTCCCAATGGGTCAAGCACAAAAATATTACATAAAATAAATAATTATAACATTCATGAATTTAATTGCACAAAGGAAAATTACAATTGCAAAATTTTAGGTGACCAAATTATTGCCATCTGTAATGTGCATATGCCCTGTTTGCTTCACATTGCCGATGGAGATCTTGCTTTCTTTTTACAACTTTGCCAGTATTGTTAGCTGCATCCAACAGTTCCCACGCAAACTGTTCAGGAAAATGCACAGTTCTCTCTTTCTCATTTGCAGCCTCCAACAACCATTTTATTGCTAAAAATAATGACCTCCTATCCGTTATAGGACCTGGGACCTGTAATTTTTGCAAAGAGATGCTAAAATATTTTTCTCAATTAAGTAATATTTTTCAGATAAATGCAAACATCTTTATTGGTCTGAAATTCTAAATAATAACAAACTAATACAAATATTAATCTATGGTATTAATAGTATATTTGTTGTTTACCATGAAGTACTAATATAAAATTTAATATTTGTTGTAAAAAATTGTAAGGATACTGAAATACTTTAGCAAAATGTGAGGTCAATAATAAATAAATAATAATTAATAAAATAACAATGTTTAATACATGCCTGATATGTTATACCTCCCCTCTTAATAGGTGTAAGTTGGAGCAAAGGTTTGCAGTTTTCAATTGCTCTATGTAGTATTTCTTTAGGACTTAAGATTATCTTTGATTTTTCCTCTGGTGTTGCGGCCAAATGATAGCGTTCAATTTGTTTTCTCTTAATATTTTCAAAAGCTTTCTCCACAAGTTGGCGTGCCAATAATTTTTTCCCATCTTCCATAACATGATTTATAACCTTACTAAAAAAAATATAGGTAACATTTATTATTTATTTTGGATTACCAACAAAATTACATGTACACAGAGTTAAAGAAACAAAAAATAAGTGCCAAATCAATTGTCTTTCACTACTGTTAATAATTTTTATATTTCAATTTTAAAAGTATTTAAGTTATCGGAGAAGCAATCGATGGAAATGTCTCTCCTTAAAAATTCTTGGTATACCCTGATTAGGCGAGGTAAGACGGAGTGGTGGCCAAGGTTGGTTCTGTACAAAACAATAATACAAAAAAACGTAAAACAAATGTTTTAAGTCTATGATCAAAATTTGGTTACTTAATAAGTGGGTCATGATAAACAGATGAAGTCTCATATACGGCCGGAGGTTTAACGGGTGCAGAAGCCAACTTCGACAATTCATTGATTTCCGCTAGTTTCGCCTGATCTTCTTTTCTAAATATTGGATTTTTATAATAATCAGGAAAACTTGTAGGCCTTGAAGTTGATTTGAAACGTTTTTGCGTTATCGTGACAAAACTGAAAAATAAATGTAAACATATTACTGTTCAAAAATTACCCAAACTGACTATATGGAACATATGAGGTTATAATTAATTTATTACCTATTAAACAGTGGAGGTACACAATGAATGTGTAGCCTATTTAATAATATCAGTTTATGGGTAAAATTCGGCATGTTAAACAGTAATAGTACTACAGTCACAACATTTAATCTTAACTGCTATTGACCAAGCCCTTTAACCTAAGTTTCCGAAAAGATTATATTTCTAACTAATTAAGTTTACAACTTTTCTAAGGTAATTCCTAATTTCCTAATTCCACCAAGCTCCCTCTCAGATATATAAAGAAGTCGTTTCAGAACATTCAGATATTTATAAGTAATTAAATTAAAAGTATTTTTTTCTTTGCTCCTGCTCGAATTTCCTGCGAATATCGATATATCGATTTTTAAATGTGTCGACATTTTTGGCCAATATATTTTGATCCGATATATCGATATAAAAAAATTTATATCGAAATCGTACAAACAACGATATTTTTATCCAAATTGATTGAAAGCCGTAAAAGATAAAAATGAACGAAAAAAAAGTGTGGTCTATTACTAATATTGTCGCGGATGCCAAGTTACATTTTGTACTATATTTATTAACAATTTGTTGCTTCGTACTTTATACCATCCATATCATAGGTACAACAATATAAAGAGGTGTTACAAATCATTTATATTTAACTACATATTATTATGTTAATTTATAACTAACATGCAAAATAAAAATGGCATCAACTAAAGTTACTTTAATTTAATATGTAAATAAGTTAACAAAAATTTAATATTATTATTCAAATTCTCAATAATTAAATGTCTAATAATATTATATCGAGTATTCATAAAAAAAATATTTGACGTCATAAAAATTATTAAGGTGCATTCGGGTATTTACGAAACGATTTGAGAATAGTTGACGGTATGTTATAATTTTCGTTTACCAGTCAGAATTGGTGTAGTTAATGCTATCAACTAAGGTCGCATAGTTAACTTGAATATACATCTTAAAACATTATTCCAATGACTATTATTAAGGGCAACAAATTATTATTACATAAGACCTGCGTACGACCGATTATGTCCGACGCATGCATGACCTTCACCCACACGCACCCTAATCGCTTATACAAGTTGCAAATAGTACAAATTAAGTTCATCACCCGCGCAACCGGTGCGCAGTGGTATCAACGCACCGTCGAACTGCACAACGATTGCAGACTTCCGACGATTCGCGAATATTTTAAAGACCTGACCAAACGGTTCTTTGATAGAGCCGAACATCATCCCAACCCTCTGGTGGTAAGCGCAGCAAATTACCAACCCGACACAAACGCGAACGTCAACAAGCGTCGCCCGCGAAACGTCCTCATCGACCCGGTCGAGGAAGGGGACTTAGATACGTCAAACCCACCGCCGGGGGTCCCGCCGGATAACACTACACTCACAGTTAGTGCAACAACAAACACACTAGTTCGCCCTCGCCTCCGAGCACGGCGAGACCAACACAACGCGTACACAAGGTACACCCGCGTTCCGGAGCGGTTCTCACCTCTCCCAGCCACCGATTAGCTCATTGTACAGTCGACAGCCATCGGGGTTTCGGTACGAACCGCGACCTCGATGGCCCTTAGATGACACACCATAGTTAAACGCACGCATGAGCATGAACATGCGTGGCCCTATCAACAGCGGAGGGCCCAAACCCGTGGGTTCTGGCTAGCCCACTGGTTCTGCGTCAGATAAAGCTTTAATAGTCTCGGGACTGAAAGCAAAAACATCAGTTAATACAAGATACAAGACCATATTTATGTATCCATATTTTATGTATATTTGTCTTTCTGTCTGAATTTTACGCCTTCGGCGTATTCAACGGAGACGTAGTCGCAGGCAGCAGCTAGTATGCAATATTTACAACATTAAATCTATTTATCACAACATAGTATAAAACTAAATCGTCTCGCTCTGTCTGTCCCTATGTATGCTTAGATCTTTAAAACTACGCTAGGGATCCTGATGCGGTTTTTTGTATTAGATTGCATTGCACTCGTGCGAAGCCGGGGCGGGTCGCTAGTAGGACATAAACCTTTCAAAAATGTCGGTCTAGCTATTTTATTACGACCGTTTTCCACCCCAAAGGGAAGAAAACGATTATTTCAGGTCTTGCCGAGGCTTGACCTTTCGGAGATTATTTACCCTTCCTAAACACGCACACATATGCTAGCTACTTACTATGATCTGTCTCTGAATGGATTCAAGGCCCCCGCGAAGGGTGCGCGGGGAGAGGCGACGGCAGGCGCAGGTTACGTCACCGCGCTCTCGTCAGTACCTGTCTCCGAATAGCCGGCAAGGGTTTGCCCAGGTCAAGCCTCGGCAAGACCTGAAATAATCGTTTTCTTCCCTTTGGGGTGGAAAACGGTCGTATTTCAGTGTTTGCCTCGGCTTGACCTTTCGGAGAAGTGTTTATAATCTGACGGCGCTCCAAAGCGTACTGTGACTGGTGACTGAAATAAGTCCTTGTAAGGTCGTAATGGACATAAAGAAAATATTAAGTTCATATTAAAGAATAAAACTTTATAATCTAAGTATTTTCATACCTAAAGATTTTAATTATCAGAGTAGGTACTCGTTAAAACTAAAATCACATTTATTAGGCTAGCTAATTAAACTTTAATCAGACTTGAAAACGACTCGATAGCGTTATTAATAATGATTTAATGCAAACTATTCCAGGACGTGTACCATAAAAATATACATCACTAATAGTTTATAAATGCTTTAGCTAGTGTTCACTCAACAGCCTTAAAGGAACTATTTAAAACATTAGCGTTGGGGTCCTGCTTACGTTCTACTGATTTGCAGTAATGCTTAAAGACGTTTCGTGAGCCTCTCCAGTTTTCCGTTGCAGAATCAGGTCTAACGGGACATTAAATTGGAAATCATTCGAAGCTACTGCTGATCTTATGGACTCGGGACCGCAGTCTATGCCTGCTTAGCTCTTTAAAAGTCGTCTTGAACTATCCAGCAATCACGAACCTTGACGCTGCGTTTACTTCACCTCGTGTCGTGATAAAGAGATTGAATAGATCCTTTCGCGCTCATCGCCTATTGGCTGCTAACTCGATTAAGCGATTAACCCAGCTAGTCCAGCTAAGCACTGGATCTTCAGAATAAATTAGGTGCTATCCAGATGGCCGATACTTGGCATTGTCCGTTTTGGACTCAAACCTGGGCCAAAAGGTTATGGAGGAATCAATATCTAGAATAGTTTAATCGTGAATACAGCGCCCTGAAGCTATCAGAAGTAAAAATAAAACGTGTCTAGATACTTGAAAAATATTATCGTCAGCCGGGACATACGATCGTAACCACTGAAGGAGATCTTGAACGTTCCAAATCTACGATTTTGACCTCGCAAAGAAGCATTTCTTTACACTAATCGCCTTTAGAAGGGTTGTTATCAAAGGGTGACTTGCAAGTCGTTTCTCTTGAGTAGGAACAGAAAGAGTTAGAATTACTGATGTGAACTAGAATTGTAGGGTATACCAAATATTTGGCTCGAGTTAATAACCTAAGTAAGCAGCGACGTTTTGAGGTTTAGGATTGTTGGGTTCTATTTCCCTTTCCTTGTACCAAGATACCCACTGCTTCCATGCGGAACTGTAAGTGCGCCAAGTGGAATCTCTCCAAGCTGATTGCAGATGCTTAACGTCATCTGGATCTAGGCCAATGACTAGTTCACTCCGCCCGACGTCTAGCAGATCTTCCACTTGTGAAGATGGGCAGTTGACAGACAGATCTATCAGACACTTTCAAATTGCGAATTTGAGAAGGAGCCCCCAGAGCCCGTCGCTTCAAGTCGTTTCTCCAGATCACTGCTTCCCATCGAGGAACTACTACAAGAAAAGTCCCCGACGACTTGTTGAGATGACTAAGCACCCTGGGGATCAGGGGCGTCAGTGGAAAAAACCCGAGCAAGAATGTAATGCTAATCTCGGCTGAAAATGATTGCCTCTATTGACGCATAAGCTGGAACAACCTTCGACTGACTCGTGGCGAAAAACTCCACTTGAGGGTATCCCATTTCTTGAAAATCTTTTTCACAACGTTCCTCTTGAGGTGCCAATCTGGAAGCCCGTTTCCGCACGATAGGCAATCGGCTATTATATTGTAGCGATCAGGCAGATAGAAAGCATGAAGCGTCACGTCTAGACTGTCGGCTAACTTCAACACTTCTCTTGTTGCTTCTAGAAGAACGATTGACCGTGTTCCTCCCTGATTTCTCAGGTAATAGATTACCGTCCTGTTGTCGGATTGCACCATCACTGAACAACCTCGAATCGCTTCTTGAAACTGCGACAGAGCTATAAGCACCGAAGAGAGCTCTTCCCTGTTTATGTGCCAACTCAACTGGTTCTCTGACCACTGACCCGATAGAGAATGATATCCAAGTTGAACACTCCAGTATGGGTTTGACGCATTTGTGCTTATGAGCACGTCAGTTCCGGAATTAAGATTTTGTCCGGAGTATTGATATGCTTGATCCACCACTGGCCATCTGCATGTGCTGATGAGGGAAATCCGAAATTCTTCTTGGGGTGCTCGTCGGAGAGTTTTCGACTGGCCCTCTGAATCTGCCTGGTGTTAAGACGACCCAAGGGAGTTGCCAAGGCTGCGAAACATAGTCTTCCTAATAGGACTATGCCTGACTTCCAAGACCATCGACCGGTTTTGTGAATATTTTCTAGGTTTCTCACTAATCGCGCTTTTTGCGTCTGGCAAATTCATCGGGTTTGTCTCTGCGTCCCAATCAATACCGAAGAATTCTATCTGCCTCTTTGGCTTTATGACTGACTTTTTTAAGTTTACGCACCAGCCTATATGCTGAAGAAACTTCACAGCCAGCCTTAACTGATCCTCTAGAACAGCAGGAACCTGATGGGCAAAGAGAAAGTCGTCCAAATATACTTGAACTCTTAATCCCTGTCTTCTCAAAACTCTTGCGAGCCATTTGAGAAAAAGCCAATGGCGCGCTGGACAGGCTAAACGGTAGAGATGTCATCTCGAATGGATCCCCTCGTAAAGGAGAGACAGATACCTTCGATGGCTCTTTCTTATCGGTATATGAAAGTAGGCCTTACTGATGTGTAATTTCCCTAAGTAGTTGTCCTCTTGTAGAAAATTGGGAACCTGCATTTGATTTATCAAGCGGAACTTTGGCGGATTGAGAAATGCGTTCAGACGACGGATATCGAAGATCTGTCGGAGCTTTCCGTTTGACTTTGGTATGAGAAACATCCGCTACAGGAAACCGGTAGAGGCTCATGAGATCTCTCTACAACACCTGATCTTAGAAGTTCTTCTAATTCGTTGGTCATCGCTTCTAACTTTTTTGTTGCGAACCGATAATTCCCGCATAGAGGAATGGAGGGCTGCTTGGTTACAAAAGGAATCGCGTAACCTGAAATTATCTTTAGGGCTGCTCTTGGGGTTTGTAAGTTCTCCCATTGTAATGTATAACCCCTAGCTGCCCTCCCCGAAAACCGTCAATATCTGCGATTGGCCTGTAACCGTCCTTTATTTCTACACTGTTTCCCTATTTGTTTGGATTGGCTGGAACGGAAGGCAGACGTACTGGACGAGGGCTTGCCTGACGCCATAGACCGCGCGTTCCAAGGATTTCGTTTACCCTTAGCCTGTGTTGGAGCTTGCGTTGGTTTTCGAAAACCGCCCCTTGGAAATGAACCTTTATCTGGACATTTCTCTTTGGTATGAAAAATACGACTTACTCCCCCATTACAAATCTTCACAAATGCTTAGAACTTTTTCTCATAGAAAGGGTGAGACACCAAGGGGGAAATCTGTTACAATGCCGCAACTAATCCACCATTACGGGGCTTGAAGGCTCTTCGTCTAAACTCAAAAGTTTCTGCTCGATGAGCACACACATATTGAATTATGTTATCGGATAATTTCCTTAACTGGGAGTCCTTTCCAAGAACACATCACATTTGTTCTGCGGCCTCCGGACATCTTTTGGAAATCTCTTTGAAATTCTCAGCCAGAGCCATTCTCTGCATGAGGAGTCCACGGACAATAGTACTTAGCAATCCTTCTTGCTTTAAAAGCCAACCTGATGGCAGCGCAATTGAGCTCAACTCTGTATTCAGTTTTAGCGTGCTAAAAAACTGGTGCCGCTAGAAGGAGCTTGTCCACTTCTTTGTAACGGATTCGGTTCCACCGAGGGGTATATATGGAGGCATGCCCCAACCGCTGGCACTCGATGCCTTTCCTCTTTATCTATGTGGTGGTATCTGGGATCAGTGGATCCGCTTGTTTTACCTGTGGTAGGAAATCAAATTCTGATGGAGAAAGTGGTTTCTCCTCCGATCTAGGAGAAGATATTTCTTCCTAGTGACTTATTGGGATCCTCCACGAAGAACAGACGTCAGAGCCTTCCGAATTAATGTCCCCAGAGCCTAAGCAATCGTCATCGGCATCTAACTCAGGGAGCGTACGATTTTCTGAAGGCTGAACCGCTTCGATCTTTTCCATGAGAATGGTGTACATATTATCCATCTTCCTCTCTAACGCATCATGCCTGGACATTAAAGGAGACCTCTTTCTACGCTTCTTTCTGGCTCTACTGCTCATTAAGACACTCCTCCGCCTACGACAAGTTCCTTGTTCCTGAGAAAGATTGCCCGCCAGTATCCTGTCCGCTTCAACTCGTGTATGTAGAAGTGTTGAATTGCTTTAACAGACTCCTTAACGAGCTCAGTGCGTACTGCTGAGGCTCGGATGCGGTTTGCCACGGCTGCCGGACCTAGAATGAGGGCCTCAGTTTGCACTCTATATCCCTTCTCCGTTAGATGATCCGCCTCTGGTATGAAAGCCCAGACTAAGCCTACAGTAGGCAAGGCAAATATGAGCTTGTTTAGCACATTTGGTTCGAGCTTTTCCCCAAAAACTTCTTCTCTCGTGGCTGTGGAAACCTCCCAGCGAGTCCAACCACCCGGAAGATGCTCTTGTACCAAAACTTTTACACGCTCCAACAATTTTTTCATCTTGCTCCGTCTCTGCGTGCTCATCCAAAAGCTCGCCTATGGTGACAATACCTGCTTGTTGAGCCATCTGATGCCAAAACATAGGCCTTAGTCAAATAATCAAGCAGAAAAGAAAAGCTTAAACAACTCGTAAGACTTTTGTTTTGAAGTCCAAGAATTGAACAAAGGCTCAACAAATTGAGGCACGCTGCTCAAGATACGCGCCGCGCCGCCCGCTTTTTGAGCCGCGCCGCCCGATCTTTAAGCCGCGCCGGCCCATTTTATGAGCCGCGCCGGTCGATTTTCAAGCCGCGCCGTCCGATTTTTGAGCCGCGCCGGCCGATTTTTGAGCCGCGCCGGCCGATTTTTGAGCCGTGCCGCCCGCTTTTTGAGCCGCGCCGGCCGATTTTTGAGCCGCGTCGCCCGCTTATTGAGCCACGCCGCCCGATTTTTTAGCCGCATCGCTTAATTTTTGAGGGGCGCCGTCAACGATTCGGGGCGCCCCGCTCCAAATTTGAGACGCGTGCTGTTAACCTTTCGGGTATCCATCAGTAAGACAGTGGCTGATTGGCCGACATGTCGAAAAATTACAGCCACAGTTTTGTGGGCTGAAATGTAGTATTTAGTACGTATATTGTGGATGGCATGCCCGACAAATACGAAAAATACTTAACACAACGTTTGTGGATGATGTGTCCGACAAACATGACACGTAACACTGGTAAATCTATAAAGTATGGAGCCAAAGCTAAGAATCTTCTTTTACAGGCGAATCCGCACCTTAATCAGAAAAATACATACAAACTGAGACAAAATGAAATTGCTTACACCATATCCAATGAGTAACGTTACAGCAATGTTGAAAAACTTTAAGCAATAATAACTTATAATTATATTAAGCAATTAAGCAAAAGCAAATGGCATACGTGCGCACGCTAGGAAAACATAAGCGTACTGACGAGAGCGCGGTGACGTAATCCGCGCCTGCCGCCGCCTCTCCCCGGGCACCCTTCGCGGGGGCCTTGAATCCATTCAGAGACAGATCATAGTAAGTAGCTAGCATATGTGTGCGTGTTTAGGAAGGGTAAGTAATCTCCGAAAGGTCAAGCCGAGGCAAACACTGAAATAAACCGTTATCGATTGCATTTAATGTGTTTTTCACAAACAAATAATATTTAATAAAGTTTTTAGTTCTTTTTCTTTTGTTGCGCTTTAGAAATGTAACTTCTTACGTGCATTAACTTTTTTAGGTTTGCAGTAAAATGTGACCGAAACATATTTTTTTTAATTAAAACACTATTATCTCAATAAAAAAAATATTTTCTTAATACAAAATTCAATAAAAAATAAAATTCGGTTTTGACATATGACACTTAATTTTACCCCATGTTTAATTTTTTAGGTTTGTCATTTGTCTTATGCTAGTCTAGTCACTTGTGTTATTTGACATCAATATTTGTAAACATGATTTGTTCTATGAGATAAATAAGATAAATTATTTATTTGAAATGTCGACTATTATTAAATTTGATTTGAAAGAGTTAAGAAAACTAGCCAATGACAAAAATTCATGCGTGGTTGAAAAAAAAGTAACTCAAAATTTAGCACTACAACCCTGGTGTTTAGGAAACTTAAAAGAGTCTATTAAAAAGTTATTAGATTATAAAATAGGAAAATATGACAAGGAGTAAGCAAGCATTTTGAATTATATCTATATTCTTTGTATTTATATATATAAAATTGTATGTGTATAATTTAAAAATTAACCAAACTAGCTAATAGTATCGTAATTTTTTACACTTTTGCTTGAATATAATTTCACTTTTCTTTCTAAAGTTCTCAAATCCTTAATGCAAAAAAATAGGTTTCTAATCATTACATTAATAGTTTTGATTTCTGCAGATTTCAAGGCATCATTATGAGTTATAAAAATCTTCGTGTCCTTCAAAATATTGGCTCCATACGAAATGACAATGCAGATATTCATTTCCAAGTTCAAGCTGACTATTTTATATTTCAACCACATGTAGGGGCAACCTTAAAAGGTGTTGTCAACAAAAAGAGTACAACACACTTAGGAATACTTGTCCACAGGTATTCAAAAGTTTTCTCATATTTTTTAATGAAAACTGCTTAATATGTACATACTTATATAGCACTAACATATTTGAAAAAAAAATTATATAACCTCTTTATGGTAGAAAAATATTACTATTCCTATATTTTCCTAAATTTGTAAAATACCAAAAAAATACTTACTACCTATTTTTTTACACTACAAATCTTAGCATATTATAGATTAGAAGTGGAAATCCACTGGTTCACTTATTAAGTTTACTTAGAGTTTAGTCTATAAAATGTAACTTTGGACACTCAGCGTAATGACACTGCTGACTATAAAATATAATTTTATTTTCAGAGTATTTAATGTGGTCATCCCAAGACCTACAGAAGAACCAGACAATAAATGGATTGGGACAAGCATTGAAGAAGGGCAAGAAATTGTTTTTCAGATTGTAGTCCTTGATCTCTATGGTGCTTTGCCTTATATTCGAGGAGAGCTTGATGAAAGGTAATAAATCAATCACAATATATTATTTCTGAAAGGTTTAATACAATTACTATATACAGGGAGGCTTTTCTAAGTCTATCCATATTTTTATTAAATTCTAGACTTATAAATAATGCTATATAAAAAATGATAAATATTTAAAATCACTCGTAATTAATTAAATCCATTCATTTGAACTTATCTCAAAAAGTGCGTGATTTATGGGCCACTCATTTATGTTACGCCCGATCATTCATAACACACAAGTTCGTTTCAAAAGTATGCGACGCATTTATGAATGACTACCGCATTGTCAACAAGTTCAGTTTTCTAAAGAATGGAAGGGCAATTTTTTGAAAAAAATGTTTGTTTTCATATCAATGAATGATTATACTACCGAGTCTGAACCTCCTGTGTGAATTTGAGCACCTTTAGAATAGCCACTCTGTAGTTAGAAATAGAACAACATAATATCTTTACTGTATATTTGATTACTTAACCAAATAAACAGTAAAGAGTAAATTTATACCAAAATATATTTTTTATATCTTATCTATTTAATCATTTTTTTTTATGAAATATGTGCTAGCAAATAATTCCCTTGTCATGAAAGATTTTCCCTTGTCATGAAAGATTTTACAAATAGGAAAATCATGGACACAATGGTTCGACCCAGAATTGAGGTTGCTTGTGGCTGTGAAAACCACTGATCTATCAAAGTAGTTAATAGTTAGTATTCATAAAACAATGATTGGTCCATATTATAAGAGAGTGTTGGTAAATAACTATTTTAATTAATAGTTTGAGACTTAAAAATAGAAATAACCATAAGAAACATATTTACATTACAGTTGGCTGGAGACATTGAATGAAAAGGATGATATAACAGAGTCATACAGCACAAAGTCAAAACCTATTGAGGTCTCTTATGTAGATTTTAATAAAACTAAGCCTAATCAAACTGAAAAATGCACGGGTGATGGAAATTCACAAGTATCTGCACAATTTAAACTAAACACACTAAAAACAAAAAACAAGATCAAATGCATTGATCTAAATAATATTGGACAAAGTGAAGATGTTGAAAACAATTTTTCCGAAAAAATAAAAACAAAGAGGCAAAGTAAGCAGGCGGAAATAGTTAAACAATCAGAAGCTACAAATTGGAGTAAAAAAGTTAAAAAAATATAAATTTAAATTTTCTAGATTGCGCTAGATTAGAGTTTATACATATGCAAACATATATCCAGATTTTTATTAAAACAATTTTAATACATTGTTTTTTCATAATTTCCCTTGGATGCTCCCCCAAAAAGGATGACATAATTTATCGAACCTTCCCCTTTCCCCTGTTATTGTGGGTCGGGTCTTCTTACTTTTTCGCGCAAAGACACGATCCTGGGTTGTCGCGTCAGGTAATTTGTTAACGATATTGGGCCACCGGGTCTTTTTTGTAGGAATTTACTGCAGTTTTATAGACTTTACCAATATTTTTTTGGAATACGTTGGTCACATAATACTCCTGTAAATGATCGCCCATTTCAGCCAAGCGACACTAACGCCCGGTTTCTGAAACACTGATCATCGTAGAAGTCAACTAATCTGCTGTCAATTGACTTTTCAAATGTTATTTGAGTTGCCAAAATGATGTTTAACTCTCTGAATTGATCAGAATGATCTCCCTAATGATTGAATGATCAATTCAAAGAGTATAACCATCACAACAGACAAATAACATTTCGAAAGCCATTTGACAGCTGATTAGTTGACTTCTACTATGATCAGTGTTTCAGAAACCGGGCGTAAATCTATCAATCACGGCCTTATCAACGTATCTATTGTACGCATAGGTCCCAAATGTTCGGATTTTGTCCACTGTGGATGTGGGTGTTTGGTCCGAATATAGATAGTTTCTACTAGTATCCGCTGAAAACGCATTTCAGATACTTACTAAGTTTTACCCGTACTGGGCAAAACGTGGGCTGTGTCTGGAGAGGGGCAGAGGTACCGTTTCAGTCGATTTACTCAGTTTTTGCCAATTTTCTTTTATAATAGATATGGTCGTGCCTTTTTAGCGAAAATTAATTTATAACTTAGCTGGTTTAAACGAAAATGATACCAAAAAAGGTGTGCAATTTACATGAGCCCAAAAAATTATAAATAAAATCATAAATAAACACAACAGCACTGATTTAAGCATCGAAGACGAGCCTCGTAACCAAAGTAATGGTACTGAATATCCAGGTAAGATATAGTTATATAAGTATTTACTTTTTAATAAATATATTAACATTATATTAGCGAGTTAAAAATTTTATTTCATTATGACGAAATTTATCTTAATTTACTGAAAACCTCATAGAAAGGTGTAAACTACCATCTGCCTTTTTACGTAGTTCGGTTTTCGTTGTATCATAATTATGCGCCTTTTTCACATTATATTTTTCTTAACTTATGAAAAATATTTTACAAATTTCATACTTAACGAATATTGCTATGTGTCTGGCTTACTAAGATAACGCCCTCGTTACTATTGACCTAATAACATATTTTACATATTTTATTATAAAGACAATTAATACTGATTCTCGTTTATGGGCGGAAGATCACAAAAGCCGTTTTACGTGGAATAATAAAAGATGAATAAAAGAAAATTAACGATATAAAAGAGTCGAAAGTGCAAAATCTCGAAATTAACAAAAAAATTGCATTAGTAGTTTTCAAGAATTGATCGAAAATACCTTTCTGAATACTTTAAACTGCTCTCCTGTATAATTTGATTTTTTCACTTAGGGCAGTTTACTTTGGAGCCGTCGTTATAGGATGTATCGTAAAGGTACTAAGGTACAGTTTCAGTGCGGGTTGGCAGACTTCACATAAAGTTTTTTAGTTTAGTTAGAAAGTTTTTTATTTTATTATTATTTCGAAATCATTTAGGTTTCATCAGGATCTTTACCTTCACCGCTGAACGCATGATAAGTCACCACTTAAAATTACAACTAACAACTAATTCGTGATACCATCGCAATTTCAACTTTCATGGTTTCAGGGCACTGAAATTCTCTGAGAGTTCTGAATTTACGAGTTCCAAAAAAAAAAATTCTCGATATTTCCCTGAAACAAGAGTTCTTTTGCAGGACATGGAGGCAAAATAGTAGTACTTTTTAAAAAAATCTTCCTAGCTCTATAAAACCCCTATTATCTTCGGGAAGACGCTATTTTACAAGCAAGTCCTCGTGGCTAAGATTTGCCTCCGATATGGTCTATCAAAGGCTGCATTGAGACGTCCTGCAACGTACAATGTAACAATAACAACTTTATCCAACTTTATTAAAGAGACGTCGATAAAACACTTTAAACGAAGCAATGCCCATTCAAGTCCGTCGCTTAAAATTTTCGGAATCTAAGTCGCAACCCCTCGCACGTGCCTCGAACCATGCATCCGAGACTTCTACGACCGAGATTATGATACATTCATAGACCATCCGGACGATACATTAACACACGCGATAAGTTAACTGTGGCACGCATGGGCAGGTCCGTCCGGGGAAGTACCACGACCCCACAGAAGGCCGACGTAAAGTGGAAGTGTTATACTTGTGCGTTTTTATTAAAAGGTGACACATCTGCCTACGGTTTTTGCAAATTTCCATGAGCGGCGGTTACCTCTAAACATCAGCTAACTGCTCGCTTGCCACCTTCTCATATAAAAAAAAAAATTTACGTGCATACGGAAGTACACACATAATTTTTTAAACCTAAATCCGAATTGTGCCTAAGAAATGAATTTATTGTCACTTGTATATAACTAAGTATTTTGGCAGTAATTTTGTTAACAACCAATTTGTTGTAATTTTTTCGATTTAATACCTAAAATTGAAGTGCGGTCATTCGTAAACGCGATTAAAGAATTTGAGGGCTATTTTGTATTTTTATGTTCATACGAAGTACCTACCTATATTTTGATTTTGTGGTATGCGTGATCTTTTTATAGCTTTCCATTATTTCTTGTTGTTTTATTAGCGTCTTGTACGTAACTATCAAGTTACATTTTATACCAACAACATTGTTGTACTTCTTCGTATTCCGGTTTTAACTTTTTAAATAAATTGGAACATATTCCTTTTGTAGATAAGTAGAGTATTATTATAACTTGATTTCTTAAGCGTTTTAGAACACCACCAGCTGAAGGTTTAATTACTTTGGTATTCAGTAATATTATGATTTAAGTGTTTTTAGTATAAAATAGTAGCGTACCTAGAGTCTATGTTAAATCTTAAGTGAAATCTGTACGTTTTAGCTGACTGCTTATATTCATCTTATACCTATGAATCATCATAGGCTATGATTAGTTCAGATAAGTCCAACACTATTATGATCCATGATTGGTGTTTCAAGTACAAGGTTACGCGCTGCTAGCTTAGTTTTCAATATTACAATAGTCACGACAAGTGGTCTATACGATACTATACGATAAATGGTCGAGATAAATCAAGTTCACTAGTAATTATTAAAGATTATTATTAAAGATATAGTAATTATTAAAGATATTTATTAGACATAATAAGTTAAACCGAAACCATTCCAAGGTTTTGCCATATTTTTAAGTATTTATGTATTTGCAATTTCTGACATATTTTTAAGTATTTAGGTATTTGTAATTTTTACATAAGCAGTTTACCGTTAGACAATAGTTCATTCAACTTGAGTTTTCGATTCTAACGCTCCGAAGCTGTAATGGGAAAAACCGCAACTGTGAGCTTGGTTAGTGTGACTCCTTAGTTGAACGCACCTATTGAGTGATAATTTTAAAAAATAGTTTTATTCCCTGTGTAATTTATTTTATACTAGTTAATTTATTTATTTATTTTTTATTTAGGTAACACTACTACAAAATGTCAAATTGAACCGTGTGTCTTAATCTATGCTGTGTACTGTTCCCGGATTGTGTTGTCGATGTCGTCTATTGAAGCATCTACGATGTATTATTTAGTAAAAACATCTTAAGATGTGTTATGAAAGGGATACAAACATTGCAATTTGACTTCAAATGGAGAATTTAGAAATAAACAAGTGAACAAATAGCCGTGAAAATATTTCTTAATTGTTTTGTGCGTATGTTAAAAATGTCGAGGAATGGCGAAGTATCGTCAAGTCAAGGTAAACCCCAATCAAAATTTTGTGTTTAATTATAAAATAACTTAAATAATATAAAGATAATATATAAAGTATTTGAAATGTTATAGGCCCAAGTCGACCAAATATGCCAAAACCGGATTTGAATTTGTTTACCACAGAAAAACGAAAAATGTTAGAATTACAGCTCGGTGGCCCATCAGGCGATGGCGCAGCATTTACACCATTCTGTTCCAATCCATCGACACAGAAATCGAGAATCCCACCACGTACAATCAGAGATGTATTACCTGAAAATACTAGGTAAATGTCTACTGTGCTTATAACATGTGTTTAGGACTAGTCTGTGATTATAGTTTAAATACTAATATATAAATGTATATGTTGACATATGTTTCAATGTTCAGTATTTTAGACTATTTTTACAGCTCATTGTTTGATATTAATAAATAAACTATTGTATTTATACTCTATATGTATTTGCTAATATTAATATATTATCATGATTCTTTTTTTTTTTCAGAGATAGGTGTAGAATTTATCCCACAATGCAATCATCAGGCAAATTGCAACTTTCTGCAACTGAAATATATGATTTTACAGCAGATGACTTACAGGATCTTGGTGAAATAGGAAGAGGTGCATTTGGAGCTGTAAATAAAATGGTCCATAGGAAGTAAGTATTCATACAAAATTTTGATTACATATGAACCAATCTAATATGTAAAACTTTCTAGTTCAAGTACTTAAGTCAATTTAATCAATTTATTTTCTAATAACAACTCTTAACACCTTAACTAATTGGAATCATTGATTTTTTCTTTAAATTTTAAGGTAATATTAATAAAATATAACAATTTTATCCTCTTCATATAACTCATAGATAATTCAGATTATCAAAAATAATCTCGTAATCAAATAATAATCACCTATTTAGGGTGTACATTCTGAAATATTTTTGAAGTTACATTTATGAAGTTTTAAGAATTTTCAGTTAGTAATAAGTGCAAAGATTAGCACTATAAAAAAAAATTAAATTTCTAAGAAGTAATGGCGACATCTCTTGTTCGAATTATCGTTGTAAAACAATATTCGAAATTATAAATGAAACTAATTTTACGGATTTATCGCGTTTATTTTTAATTTTAGTTCCCGACGTTTCGAACCCTTTACAGCGTTCATGGTCACAGGACAGACTGAGCTGTTAGACGTCTGATTGTCAAAGTTAACCCAGGCTACCGTCAGTTTTTGTATTATTGATTTTGTATAGAGATAGACCTCAGTCTGTCCCGTGACCATGAACGCTGTAAAGGGTTCGAAACGTCGGGAACTAAAATTAAAAATAAACGCGATAAATCCGTAAAATTAGTTTCATTTATAATGTGTAATCGCGTAAATACAAGAAATTATTAAATATTCGAAATTGTTTGTATGCTGAAAAGGATATAACAATGGATGCGCCAAGCATTGCTTCAAATGCTAAAAAACAATGTAGATAAAGGGCGTTAAGATTTTCGTCGGTGTGGCAATCAGCCGTTTAGCTCAGTGGCTAGAGCGTCAGGCTGCAAATGCCGAAGACGTGGATTCGATTCCCACAGCGGCGACAATCTTTTCGTACTTTTTCTACAAATTTTAATAGTAAGTGTTTAAACGTTTTCTTAAAATTTTATTTAAAGCCAATTAAAAGATTTTCACACCTTGAGGTCATCGGCCGCTTGGCTTAGTTGGTAAAGTGTCTAGACCCTAAACTAGGAGGAAAACAAGGCAAAACAAGATGCAGGTTCAAATCCCACAGTTTCGAAAGATTTTTTTCTTTTATCTACAAAATTTACAGTCTAAAGCAGAGTTCCCCAAACTTTTTTGTGTCATAGACCCCTTGCCATGTTGGGTAGACCCCCTACTTACCTGATATTGATTTCCTGTTAATTTCTAACTGTAGTGAAGTTTAGTGTTAAAAACTTAAAGTAAAAACACATGTTAATTTATACATTTATTAATTGAATTTAAATTAAAACTACTCAAAATAAAATAACATAAGCAATAAGTCAATATTTTTAGTGAGAAGGATGAACCTGATGCTTTAATAATACCATCAGTGTATGTGTTGAGATCCACTATCGTGGACCCCCATTTTCATTTCATGGACCCCCAAATTTTTTTTCGCTGACGTAGACCCCTTGGAGGTTGTCATAGACCCCTAGGGGTTGATATAGACCACTTTGGGAATCACTGGTCTAAAGTTTTATCTTAAGTGCTAAAACTAACACTAAAATCAAAGATTTATCCTAAAATCTTAAAGCCAATATATGAATACCCCACTTTATTTAATCGGCGATTATCACGTGAACTGCCAGCCAGCGTTTGCCACTTTATCACATAAAAAAAATCATATATCTATTTAAAATCTTTCTTGATATCTGACCTTCATTGGAATTTAAAAAATACTGTATAAATACTAAACATTTCTGATTTGTTTACAAGAAAATGTAGCATTAATGTATTTGTATATAAATATTAAATAAATCCTTACAGAACTAACAGAGTGATGGCTGTAAAACGGATTCGTTCCACGGTTGATGAGAAAGAACAGAAACAGTTACTAATGGATCTAGAAGTGGTTATGAAAAGTAATGAATGCCCATACATTGTTCAGTTTTACGGTGCACTTTTTAAGGAAGTAAGCAAACATTCAAATACATTTAATTTACTGCTTAACACATGTTGTACAGTTGTATAATATAACATAAATTGGCTGAATTTCATAAAACCAAAACCTTTTCTTACATACTAAAAACTATGAATTGGTAATTAGTATTTAATTTATAATTACTGAATTCTACAATATTATAAAATTTGTTTGTTGTAAATTTTATTGATTATCTTTACAGGGTGACTGTTGGATATGTATGGAGTTAATGGACACATCACTCGACAAATTTTACAAGTTTATTTGTGAAAGGATGCAGACTCGAATACCTGAAAATATTTTAGCCAAAATAACTCTTGCAACAGTTAAAGCCTTAAATTATTTAAAAGAAAAGTTAAAAATTATTCATCGGTAAGGTTTTATTTTAAAAACATTTTGTTGCAAATTACATTCAAATAAATAAAAACACCGGTCAAGTGCGAGTTGAACTCGTACCCTGAGGGTTCCGTACCAACCCATTATACCGCCATAATAACATTTGGTAAGTAATCACAACAGATTTTCTCAGTAATGAGTGGATCTATAGGTTTTGGGTTGAAAACCTATATAATAGATTCCTTTGACCAAAAATCACAAAATTTGGCAAAAAGCAAAGGACAGCCCAATTAGAGGAAAGTCCCAAAAAATAAAATATATTGAAAAATAAGGTAAATTCTAGTACTTACAAGGTTCAAATTGTTAGGTACACCTGTTCCTGAGAAACTTAGTGGGGACACACAGACAGACTGACGGAAAAGAGAGTGATCATATAAGGGTTCCTTTTTTTTACTTTTATGGTACGGAACCCTAAAAAGGATGAGTTTTTAAAGATAAATTATTTTTGTTTTACTAGGGATGTCAAACCTTCTAACATATTATTGGACAGAAGGGGAAACATTAAGCTATGTGATTTTGGTATATCTGGTAAGCTTGTCGACTCAATAGCGCGAACTCGCGACGCCGGTTGTAGACCATATATGGCAGTAAGTATTTTTCTTTTTTATTATAACTACTGATATATTTAACTTTATCCCTGGGATTATGTTTGCTTTTAAGTGGCCGATTTAAGCGCTGATGTGATACAAGCAAGGACTTGTTATTCCATCCTCTGGAGTCATTAGAAATAAATTCAATTCGCCATTATCCACTAGACATCCATAAATCGAGTGAACATGATGTATTCTCCTATTGTGTTGAAAAGTGTGATTTGGAGTTAGCATCTTTCAGAACTTTCAGATGCAGCCTCAAATTCAGTGAAGACTACTTTAGTACTCTTTCCCTTAAAAATACTTACTCAGCAGTCTCTTAGCGTACCTTCTTTTGAGTGGAAAATCCATTATGAATTCCCGTTGTGTGATCAGGGAAGCCTATGACCCCGATTGGCGTTGACCTAGTCAATTGATGACCAAATTCGAATGCTGGTGTACTTGGTTACGTATTGTGTATGTTTCGTCGTGCTCGTAGGCGTGGACAAACTAATTTATTATGTGCGTTAGCTCTATGAGTGGGTATAGTGTCTACCTACTTTTAGCTGTGTTTGCGCCTAACATAATTATCATTTTCTTTATCCCAATAAAATACGTCATAGTAATAAACATTGACATGAATATCGGCAGCTTTAAACATAAATGAATTCTAGATCTAGTCTTAAATTTTTTATTACACAAAAATACTTATGACACATTTGACTACAATTTGTGCCTAATTTCAGCCAGAACGGATTGATCCTGGACGTGCACGAGGTTACGACGTACGTTCTGATGTTTGGTCTCTTGGAATAACTTTAATGGAAGTGGCTACTGGTGCATTTCCATATCCCCGATGGGGTTCCGTCTTCGAGCAACTTCAGCAAGTCGTGCAAGGCGATCCGCCACGGCTTACCAATAAGAATAATATATTCTCTAATAACTTCGTTCATTTTGTCAATACTTGGTAAGTATTGAAATGCTTACTACATATTTTTTTCCTACTACCTTCTGAAAAAAAATCATTGCACAATGTACACCAATATTTATACCAATAAATATTGATTTACAGCCTTATTAAGGAAGAAACACAGCGACCAAAATACAACAGACTACTGGAACATCCATTTATCAAAGGAATAGACCAAAGTCGAGCTGATGTAGCTGCTTACGTATGTGAAGTACTTGACGCAATGGAGAGAAATGGTGTCAGCCCCTTCACTACTGACCAACCAGCTCAAGCTTGGATTGATTAAAATTCTATTTGAATAGTATTGGGTAGCTAGAAAGTATTTCTAGAACTAAAAATAGTTTCACATAACCCAAAAAAAACCTATTATAATAACCCCCAAATTACGAAAATTTTACGAAACATTGGGTTCCTTAGAATGACCCTTGTTTACTTTTAGCTTTGACCATAAACTGTTCTTGTGGAAAATAATTTGCAAGTCAACCTTGACCTTTTATACCATGCACTTTAATTTTTGTTACCTCAAGTTTGATACAATTAATTTCAAAATTGGATTTCCGTATTTGAATCAGTAGAATCTTCATAAAAGCATTGTATTTCTCTGTGCATTTTACTTGATGGAACAATGTAGAAAATATGATAGAACAATTAGGAAAATTTTATAATCACTTCAGCAATCTTTGCCACACTTATAAATTTTGTTTTGTATGTATAGATTTATTATTATCACACATAATCAGTTTCTTCACTTTCTTAGGTACCTAAATTGTACTAATATTGGCTAGATATTTGCTTCATCAATTTGAAAAATTCAACTATATCCTATTGTATTAACTCCAATCTAAATCAACATTAATCAAATCAATTTTATATAATTTCTATTGTTCTTTAATTGAAAATTTATTTAAAATTTTTTGTTGCCTTTCACACATTAAATTTGTATGTGAGGTAACAAAATGTAAATTTGATTTATTTATATTTATTATAATTTTTGACTTCTTTTCATCTTGTTATTCTTACTTGTAAAATAAATTGAAAATTGTTTTACTTTATTAAAAATTCTTAAAGGAGCTACCTATATTTTTGAAAATATCACAGTAGTATAAATTTAAAATATTTAATTTGACAGACGCAAAAGGCTATCTTGTGACTAAAAATTTTCTAAGTTAAATGTTTAATGTGAATTGCTTATGATTTTGATTTGGCTGACTGAAGTACACAAATTAAGGCCACTCAGGTTTTATGTATAGATGTAATTTTGTAATAAATTTGTATATACAGATGGATAATAATTATTGATAAGTAAAAATAATTTCTAAATCAACCATTTTATATGGCAGCCTTACACTTAAATATATTTTACACAAATTAAACACATGATTGATTTCCATTCTATTTAATCAAAATTTCTTATAATTAAAATTGATTCACAAAAAATTGTGTAACATTAAGTAATAGAATGACATGATGTATTAATAAATGGTGGTTTTGTTTTATTATATCTATTCCCAAAATATTTAACATTAAAAGTAGGTACTTGAGTATTATTACGTTATTCTAAAACATGTGCCATTTTCTGAGGATTAATTATTTTTCCGTACTTGATAAATATTTTATATTTTGTGCCATCTGTCAAATGTGGTCTAAGATAAATTGAGTCCATAATTTTGGGAGCAATATCGCACAACGGGATCCAATCATTTGCATCAATAATCCTGTCTTTCCTGTTTCCCCAGAAGTCAACTGATGATATTTTAACTAATTTATTATCTTCACTTATGTATAAAAACCCTATAGTGTTACGAAGTGGGATTGTTGCTAGGGTTAGCGCGACACATCCGCTTATACCTGTGAAAAATAAATTACGTTACGAGGACCTTGCAAACGGCAAGTAAGCACATTGAATTAAATAACTCACCTATGTATGTTGCAGCTAGGAACACATTGTCTTGCACGACACTGAACATTTCTAGCAAACCGCAACTGGATATAGTTAAACTGGATCCATAAAAATGATAAACTTTTAGCCTATTAATCATTGCTATGTATTTGATATATGGGAAAGAAAAAACTGTATCAAATGAAATATTTTTTGCATTTTGATTTAATATTACCGATGAGTTATATCTACAAATGTTAAAAATACCTCTCTTCAACATAATCCGTGCTTGAAGTTCTTTCTAAAACAAATTAAGGTTATGTATTTATTTTTGTCAGCTGATTCTGACAATTCAATTTTTTTTTCTTCTTAGAAGAGTACTCTATACCTATAGTGATTTGACACGCCAATTTATTTATTTGATAACAGTTACTTAATTTAATACTCTAAATTAATATTCATTATGATTTGTAATACCTACCGAATACTTTTTGTAATACCAATAACCATATTTTTGTGTTTTGATGTATGATGATGTATCATATTAAAAGTTAAAGTCTTTAACTTTTAATATGATACATACTTATCTGAAACTACTTTTTATTCCACAGCCAATACAGTTTTATAGATTATAATGAAAGAAAAAGCTACTTTGAAACTGAGCTTGTAGATTTTTTCGTTCATCGCTCAAAATCAAAATATGATATTAAGCCAGATAGCGTTTCAAAAACATTGTGAATGATGTGAACAAATTTTTATACTCATATGTTTGATAATTATTTTGCAGTTATGATCACGGCTAACGTCGGCTGTAAGTTTTATACATAATGCATAATAATGTCAACTGTCACAATCCAAAATAATAATAAAAATTTTGACATGTAGTTTGCATGTGCAAGTGCAAAACCCACGTGAAGAATACAAACTATGTAAACGCTAATATTTCTGCACATACTCTACATTAAGTAAAAAAAAAAAAACTGTAATATGGCCAATTTGCTAAAAGAAGTGTAAGTAACCAACTTTGTTCCGTCTCAGATTTTTTCCTTCCTTTAGCTACGGACCCACGGTAGTGGTTTCTTAGATCTGTTTATTTATGAATAAAAATAACAATTTAAGTACATTGGTTGATTGATGTATACTTTTAGGCAGATTTTACATTAAAAGTTAATGGCAAAGTTTTAAAAGAAAAGTTGCAAATGAGTTTCTTAATGTTCACAATCACACATATACCTTGTGAAACTACTAGACATTTGTAACACTGTCACACAGAGGCAGTATCATATCTCGATAAATATGTTAATATTTCTATCCCAGATTTTAAATTTTGTCATATAGGCCCGAATGATATTATTAAAACATTTAAAAATCTAAATAAAAAGAAAACAGAAGACTTATGGGGCTTATCAATATGGGCAATTGATCTTATAATCTATGACATTGCTTACACATTAGCCCAAATATTTAATACTTGTTTAGACAGTAGCAAATTCCCAAAGTTATTGAAATATAGTAAAGTTGTACCAGTATATAAATCGGGTTCGAGAGATAATGCCTCTAATTACCGTCCTATCTCTATGTTGCCAGCCTTAAGCAAAGTGTTTGAGAAAATAATGCTGGATCAAATGATACTTCATTTTAACAAATATAAAATTTTAAATCAGCACCAATTTGGATTTACTAAAGGTAGATCTACAACTGATGCAGGGATAGAATTAGTTTCACATATCCTGCAGTCCTGGGAAAGCTTTCATGACACCATTGATGTGTTCTGTGACCTTTCCAAGGCATTTGACTGTTCTAATCAGGAAATTGGAATATTATGGTATTCGAAATAGTGCCATTGACTTTGTTTCCTCATATCTTACTGACAGGGAACAAAAAGTAATCATAAATGGTATTTTGTCAACGGGGTCAAAAGTAAAAATGGGCGTTCCTCAAGGATCGATCCTGGGCCCTTTTCTGTTTTTGGTTTATATTAATGATTTGCCATATATAGTGGAAAAAAGGTCTCAAATTGTTTTGTTTGCGGATGACACTTCATTATTGTTTAAAGTTAAAAGGAAATATGATGCACTGGAACAACCAAATGAAATACTAGATGTTGTGTCTGGCTGGTTTGCTACCAATAACTTACTTTTGAACTCCAATAAAACAAAATGTATTAGATTTACTCTTTCAAAGTTGTGTCACCAATCAGGATCTCTATTGATGAGAAAATCCTACCCCTTGAGGATTCAACAGCATTTCTTGGAATAAGCGTTGACTCCAAGTTGCAATGGGGATTTCATGTAGATAAGTTAGCTAAGAAATTGAGCGCTGCTGTCTTTGCCATATGCAAAATCAGGCAGCTAACTAACGAGGAAACAGCTAAATTAGTTTATTATGCTTATTTTCCCAGCATAATGTCCTATGGTGTCTTACTTTGGGGTTCCGCATCCGGCTTAGACACGATATTTGTATTACAAAAGCAGGCTATACGGGCCGTCTATGGCTTGGGTCCACGTGAGTCACTACGGCATATATTTAAGCAAATAAACGTTTTGACGCTCCCGTCGCTTTACATACTTGAGAACATCATGTATGTACGTAAGAATATCCACCTATTTATGAAAAAACAATCCACATCGCGTCGGGGCCGTGGTGACACTCTGGAAGTACCAAGGTTTAGATTGGTTAAAACCAGAAAGTCGTTTCTTGGTAGATGCATCAACTTTTATAATAAAATAGGTGACATCCACAAACAACTAAGTATAAACAATTTTAAACAATTTGTAAAAGCTACCTTAATGGCAAGGGCATACTATAATATCCAAGAATACATTGAGGACAAGGATGATTGGAAATGACTCTTGCTCTGCACTTTCAAGACCCCTGGCTGCTTCTGATTTTATACCTAAATAAGTGTGTATAATTGCATCAAAAAAAAATATATAACAAAAAGAACAAGACCGCAGAGTTTCTTGCCGGTTCTTCTCTGTGCAGGTCTAGTTTAGTGAACCGGTGGTAGATTTTTTGTTGACGTTCAATAAGAGCTTAAGTTAGGCCTATATTGAATAAATACACTTTGACTTTAAGAGAACTTTATTAAACGTTCGGCTAATTTTGTACATTAGCGGGACGGTCGTTTTTCAATTTAAAATATTTTTAATTGATAGAAAAACATAATCGAATTTATATTTACGCAGCAAAAACTATTGGATGCGTGTAGATTTGGAGAAAAAATCAACTAGGTCAACTTGTACGTAAAAATCGACATCTAGCATACCTAACCTGTCAGTTTCAAATAAATAAAATTATAGGTTCAACTCTTTTTTTGAGTTGGGTTTTGAATTGCTTGAATTTAACTACACTGTAAGTTTGAGGGGGTTAAGTAGGTTCATACCAAGCAAACTAATGCATTATTTTCTGCCAGAGATGCGTAAAAATTGAACAACCTATTTTCTAAAATTTCTTCAAAATCTTACAAAATGTGCATTGGAACGTAATTTTAACAAATTTCAGTGTTTCCGAAGATTGCGAATAATAAAAAAAATTAAGCGATATAGAAAGATCACTAATGAATTTAATTTAAGAGCAGAATTCCCTAATCGCTTATAGTTTTCGAGATTTTTATTTGCACTAAGAATGTCCGCCATTTTATTAATTTGAATTCAAAAACTGGAGACAGAACTGCCAACATGATAAATATAGGAAGCAATGTCATACTTGTATGGATTGTTCGATAATTTTTTTTTTCTAAATTACACAGAGCAGTCCGACTCGGACAGGTTAGGCTAGAAGGTTAAAACCAAGGGAAAGGAGGGGAACCCGCCCCCATGACATTCTTATTAAATTATTATCAAATAAACATAATTATAAAATGGTATAATAAAAAAGTGAGGAGGTGACTCACCATATCACCCTCCGACCCCCTTACCCTTCCTCAATGTAAAAATGTTCTATTTTAAAATTATTGACAAAAATGAATTTTGGGTGTGTAATGGCATATTTTATTACTGTTTAATTAAATTGCAATAGATTATAAAGATAAAATTATTGATTACAGATATGAAAAGACAAGTGAACATACTGCTTTTTATACTGGTGGTGATATTCACTGGACTTCGGATGGAGGGCACTTCCTTTGTCAATGTGAAGATGTTATAAAAGTCATTGACACAAACACTTTATGCAATGTTTTAACCATAGGTGAGCTAAATGAAGAAAAGGATGAAACTGATCAAATTTACACTTTTCAGCTTTCTCACAATAATGAGATAATATTAACTGCACATAAAAGTGGTTTGATGAAGTTATGGGATAGACATACAGGCAAACAACAAAAAGTTTGGAGGTCCGGTCATAAAGGGACTGTTGCTAGATTAGCATTTAATTATACTGATACTAATATAGCTTCAGGAGGTTCTGATGGTAACATAAGGTTGTGGGACTTAAACCATTACACATGTATAAGTAGTCTTCATGGGGCTTTGGGGGTTTTTACAGTTGTCAAGTATCACCCGGATGTTTCAAAGCAAATAATTTTTGGAGCTGCAGATGATACAAAAATAAGATCATGGGATTGTAAATCTGGTAAAGAATTGTTGATATATTCTGGACACTTTAGTAAAGTCACATCCTTGCTCTTTACACCAGATGGTGAAAATATGATTAGCTCAGGTAGAGATAGAGTTCTTATTCTGTGGAAAATAAATGATAGCAAGGCCCTGAAGATTTTACCCGTATATGAAAGTATTGAGGCTGCTGTACTTTTACCAACATCATTTAAAATCCCAAATTTCAAAAAGAAATTAGAAATGGAAGGTATATATGTAGCTTGTGCTGGTGAAAAGGGAGTTATAAAAGTCTGGAATCTGCAAATGAGTCGTCTAATGTTTGAACAAGATAATACCCTTGTTTCTCCTGCATCTGAAGAAGGTGGCTTAGCAATAACTCATTTGCTTTTTAATGAAGCACGAAATATGTTTTCAGTTGTAACAGTAGATCATAATATTATAATACATGATTTAGAAACATTTGGCTGTTTAAAACAAATGATTGGTTTCACAGATGAAATATTAGACATAATTTTTATAGGAAAGGATGAGAAACACATCATTGTAGCTACAAACAGTAGAGACCTTAAGCATTATGAATTAGATAACCTCAATTGCAAAATTGTAAAAGGACACACGGATATTGTTTTGTCTCTTGCATGCTTCCCAACAAAACCAGATATGTTTGTGTCATCTGGAAAAGATAACACAGTTAGAATTTGGCTTAATGGTTTAAACAATGAAATAAGATGTATTGGAATAGGTTCAAGACACACTGCTTCTGTGGGGTCTGTATTTACAGCTCAAACATCTGATAAGTTTTTTGCATCAGTAAGTCAAGATAGCTGCTTGAAGGTGTGGTCTGTTCCAAAAGATCTTGATTCTTCTGATCTAAAATTACAGTCAACTCATACTGAGCTAGCACATCAAATGGATATTAATTGTGTTGCTGTATCACCAAATGATAAAATGATTGCAACTGCTTCCCAAGATAAAACTGCCAAGCTGTGGACTGAAGATTTAATGCAATTAGGGGTCCTAAAAGGTCACAGAAGAGGTATATGGTGTATAAGATTCTCACCTGTAGACCAAGTAGTACTTACCTCATCTGCTGATTCTGCACTAAAACTTTGGTCTATAGCCGATTTAAGCTGTCTGAAAACTTTTGAAGGCCATGAAAGCTCAGTTTTAAAAATAGAATTCTTGAGTAAAGGACAACAAATATTATCCAGTGGTGCAGATGGGCTTCTAAAACTTTGGAATATCAAAACTTCAGAATGTAAAATGACTTTGGATAATCATGATGGTAAAGTATGGTCTATGGCTGTAAACAGAAATGAATCCATTATAATAACTGGAGGTTCAGATTCTAAATTAGTCAAATTGAAGGATGTTACCATGGAGAAACGAGAAAAAATGGCTAAAGAGAGAGAAGAATTGATTCTACAAGAACAAGAACTCCAAAATTTGTTACATGACAAAAAATTAATTAAAGCACTGAAATTGGCACTTCGTATGGAGAGGCCATTTCATGTCCTAAAAATAATAAATGAAATTTTGAAATACGGCAATATCAAACTTTTTGAAACATTGAAAGAAATTAATGACACTCAAAAAGAAACACTATTAAAATTTGCTAGTGAATGGAATACTAATAACAAAAATTGTCATGCCGCCCAAGTTGTTTTTAATATATTAGCGCCAGAAATTATTTCTGGCAATTTAAAAGTACCTAATTTAGCTAACTTTATTGAAGGTACTTTACCATATACAGAGCGACATTTTGAAAGGTTAACGAATTTATTACAAGATCTTAATTTTATTTCGTACGCTATTAACTCCATGCAACCGCATGCCGTCAAAAATTAAAAAGAAAAAGTATATATGATAAATTGTTTTATTTTCTCACATCACCATTAAAAAAATTATATTGTATCCTTTGCTTAAGCAAATCTTTTTTTATTAATCAGGTTTTTTTATAGAATTCACATTATCTATAACAAACATCTCTTGTTGAAATATTATAAAATTAAAAGCTACTCTTGTAAATTAACTCGCTATGATTATAAAAGCTCGTAGGTATTTAAGACACACTAACGACGCGCAACTTTGCCTGGTTAAAGGTGCTCTTGTTTCTCCATGGTACCGTATTCGGTTTTAGATTTAGTAGAGATGAGACGGTCGCGCGTTGTGGACGTCTAGTGTATTTCTGGCGCTAGTTTAATTCGTGTTATGTTAAAAATATGAAGAACATAAGAACTTTTATAGTAAGCGTTTTATTTGTATTTAGTTATGCATCAGGCCAAAAAACGTAAGTTTCTTTTTATACTCATTTTATAAATATTACTTTATCGTAGTTTTCTTGTTATTATTTTTAATTTTATTTGAAACTTAAAAATTATCAATTGCTCCAGTAAGTCGTTGACGACAGCGTTAGCAAATTTACATTTTTTTTCGTAATTTCCATTGACAAAAGTCAAATACTTTTTTATATAATCACTAAATAGCAGTGTTTCTATCAGATATTGATTTGTTTCTTATTCTACTATTGGACTCTATCTAAAATCAATACAGTTTTGAGCTTTTTTTATTGTCTAAATTAATTTCTTTTGCAAAATTAAACCATACATCTATATATAAACAATGGATTGGCACGTCTACGTGCTTCGTAAGCAAGTTAGATTATTATTTTACCTTCACAAACATCTTAGAATTTTTTTACGTTTGACTTTAGCTTTGAACCATGGTTGATCGTTATTTTTTTTTTGTTTATACGCAGATACTTATTTTAAGATAAAATGAACCAACCGTCTAATCGTGAGTCCCCAGTTCGATTCCCTAAACTACGTAAACTCGACTTGCATTAATTTTTATAACATTTCGTTGAAGTTAATATAATTAAAATGCGGAAGTCGTTGCTTGTTATCTCTTTTAACTGTTCTAGCTTTCTTTGATACAAAAGTGTACAAAAAATCGGAAACAATGCAATACATAAAAAGTGGTAATTAAATCAAAAATCAATGAATCATCCGTTCCTGATGTTTTATTAAACATGATGAAAAATTTTTCTGCGTTTCAGTTGCGTCCTCCCGTCCGTTCTTGATCTTAGCTTTGTCAGTTTTATTTGATACACCACTATAGAAGCAGCAACGTACGGTAATGACCATAACTAACGCGCGTACTTATTGTTATTTAGAAGTTAATTATGCAAAGAAAATTATAGTATATCCGTATACTTGTTACCTATACGGAGTAATAAAATTTGGTAGTTCTTTTACTCATAATTGGAAGATTTAACGATACATTTATTTCGATAAATCAACGTTGTAATTTGATTGATTTTATGTTTTCTATAGTTGACAATTGAAGCATTAAATTCTTGGTGAAAGTCATTAATAACTCTACGACAATATAATTGTCATTTACATTACATTTTATCAATTAGCGTTATCGATAGAACGGGTAGATGCAAAGAAAATGGAGCCGGTTCACAAAGCGTAAGGCGTGTGTTTTACTTTTGCTGCTGCTGCAAAGATTTTGTCGTGCAAAAGATGTTGATTTTAGTATGTCTCTACATAGTCGTGGCTATAAGCTTGTGGTACTAATTAGCAAATTTGTAATGAATTGTTTCTATATAAGTACTCTACGTTAATAAAGTACATACAAATATAAATGCAAAAGCCCCCCTGCATGATCGTTAATTGTTGGTTATGTCGTCAATGTATTGCCGTATAAAGACTTATGTAGTGAGTATGTAGCGTTTAATTTGCATGTCACTATAATTAACGTTACAGGCATTTTATCCTGGGATTATTATGTCCAAGAGTGTAACAGCTTATCTTCCGTAAGATGGGCTAATCTGGTTTAATTACATCGCTCAACACATTCTCGTCACTACAAATACATCATAAACCGGACACCAAAATCCGAGTACAATGGCATTTTAAGGTTAAATGACGATTGAAAGTTCAAAAAATTTGAAACTTAAACATGAAATTATCTTATTCTAGTGATCTTATTTTAATTATTCTTTCGCAGTCTAATTCATCTAAAAATGATTAAAAATTAAATAAAATCTACGTCTTATGGATTTTTAAGTGTAGTAAATTTTTAAGCTTGTAGTAAAGTAACAGCCTATACATGTCCCACTGCTGGGCAAAGGCCTCCTCTATACAGAGGGTATCAGGGCATAGTCCACCACGCGGCCCCACTGCGGATTGGCGGACTTCACATATCTTCGCAATACATTTTTTTTTTGTTATTATTTCGAAAATATGCAGGTTCCTCACGATGTTTTCCTTCACCGCGGAGCACGTGATAAGTCAGCACTTAAAGTTAAAAACTTCATTGGTGCCGGCACCGGGGATCGAACTCAGGTTGCTCGAGTATATATTGAATTAAAGGCGAGCGCCCGGACACTGAGCTATCACGGCTCAGCTTGTAGTAACCAATGGTTTAATAAAAAACCGCCCAGGTGCGAGTCGGAAATGTTCGTTATTATTATTTTTTTCAATCCATATTAGTATAGTTTTAGTTAACATACTTCGCGAAAAGTTCACAAGGATAGTTGATGTATAATCAATCATCTAAACGGTGATACTTCAAGTCAACAAGTAATGTCTGTTGTCGAAATATTGTTTTAATTCAATGGATGTACAGTGTATGTTGGTACAGTGACGAAATTCGTGTATAAAGTATTTTCCTGTAAAGTGTCGAACAAGTTTATGGGCACAGGGTAGTAAACTCTATCGCGTACTACTGGAGTTCTTGTGTTAAATATAGTTTCTCATTCAAAACCCGCTTCGACGATAATGAAAGTAAAAAAATCTTTTTTATTTCAATCACGTGCGACTTGGTAAAATGCGGGCTCCGATCTGATATTAATTAACCTTTATCGATTTTTAAAGTTTCAATACCAACATTGATACGTTTAAAAACCCTACAAATATGAACGTCGATGAAAATTGTACCTATATATTGAACGTGAATAGAATTTTGTGTCCACTTGGCGTAGTAGAGGAAAGTCACCAAATATGGAATAGTATCCTAATATGGAATAAAGCAATTTCTCTAAGAATATAAGTATGAAACGAAACACATGACCATCTTCTGTTTCATTCGGTCTATTTACTACCTCACTCACACCATCGTGTTAGTTGCGCGAACGCTACAAGTGTGGCTGGTGTTTTTTGTTTTGTTATCACGCAGAAAATTTTAAAGGTAAGTAATAATTGAGTATTACCAGTTATTACGTATGTATACATAGGTGTTTTACTATTTAGTATATCGATATTATGTTTATTTCAACGTTTTGTGATATTCTGTCATTAAAATATTGTGATTTGAAAAAATATTTAGATGATTTTAAACAAGTATAAAAATCCAAATATGGACAGTCGTCGGTGTCTAATTATGAAATATTCCATAATTAGGTCTTTATATTTCACATGTTAGGTACTTGCTATTATTTCTTTAAAAAAAATTATGTTATGTTTGTTTTTAGAATGTCTGCTTCACAATCAACCAAGAAACGAAAAACCTGGGATGAAGCAAAAATGGCAGAAGCTATAAAATTCGTCCGGGGAAATAAAATGGGATATTTGAAAGCAGTACAGCATTTTGAAAGAAAAGCTGCTATAGCAACAGTCATAACATCTTCACCCTACAAAAATTATTTAGTAAATAAAAATATGAAGAGACAAGAAAAAGAAAGTAAGACAAAGAATAAGAAGAAAACTGCGAAGAGAAACAAACAAACGAAGAAAAATAGAAATGATCGTGAAGAAGAAGACTCTGAGGAACGGGACGTCACCCAGTTTGATGAAGACAGTGAAGATGATGAGTTGATGGACCATGTATCTCCTGACTCTGCTGATGCAGAATGTATGTTCTGTTCAAACCTTTTCTCCATGGATAAAAGTGGAGAAAGCTGGATTAAATGCTTGATGTGTGGACTCTGGGCACATTATGATTGTGCTGGTCCAGAGTTTGATACTTGGATCTGTGACTTTTGCAAGTGAATTTAGTAACTTCGTTCGTTTATAACAATATGTTATTTTAATTTATTTGATCTCATAGATATTTATGTCTATTTTTGTTATTGAAATGATGATTTATGCTTATATTCCATATATGGGTACCTATTCCATATTTGGTTACTCATTTGTGATTTTGGTTTTGTGTTAGATTTTAATTTGGTAACTAATATATTTGATTAAAGGCTGTTAATTACTAAATATAAATGTCTGACTGATTAGTAATTACATTAAACTGTTTTAGTTTCTATGAAGTTTTTTTTTTATATCCCTGAAACAAAATGGTATTCCATATTGGGTGACTTTCCTCTAATTATTACCTAGTGTAGTATGCCTACTCTTAAATAGCGTTTTACAATGAATATAATCGAGAGGTTGCCTTTACTATTGTAATGTAAGATACGGGGAATGATATTAATAATACAATTGTGTCATTAATCTACCGGTAAGACTTTCTTTTAGGAGGTGTAATGTTCAAGATAGTTGTCAAAATTTTATACAAACATCATAGACAAAGTAGATTCACAGCGGCTATAGCCGCTGTGTGTCCGAAATGATGTCACTGTGAAAGACTTTTCAACCAGTATCAGACCTGGTGCTATGTTCGGTTCCTGTTTGTAATTATTTTTATATGCATACGAAATGAAGGCACCAAATAAATCCGATATCGGACTTGTGTACTAGTTATCTAAAGGACTTTAAACAAAATGTATTGAAACCATTCACTTAACTGGGAGGTTTGTAACATTATTGTGAGCGTTTCGATAAAAAGTCATTAGAACGTCTCTCAAGACACGGTCCGATAATTCGCCATGACCGTGCATTAAGCATTGTCTCTGAATTCCGTGTTTCGGATGAACTTGCAACGGCTTATCTACGGAATAATTGGTAACAGTTTGTCAAATGAAAGTTATGTAACGGGCCACTTGTGATCCATTTTAAGAAATACTATTAATATTATCTAATTAGTTTGAATAAATTAAAGGCAGACAAGCATTTAATGAGACAAAAATGAAATATACGCGTACAAGAACAGAACGTACAGATGCTTGAATATTAATTTAAAGAAGACTTATTTTAATCTAATTCTAATTAAGTTATCAAAATTCTGAATATCTATGATGGACACCGCTTAGTAATTATTGTATTGGATGTTAAACGTAGACCATGTTTATAACTTTTTAATATTGTATTCGTATCAGTTAATTTATGTTTTTTTTTTTTGTATTTATCGCTTACTATGAAATCTTCCTCCTGCCCTAATCCCAAAATAGGT